TCACTGACAACTGATTTCCTTGCCAGCTTCAATGCTAGTTTCAGTGATGCCACCAACTTTTTTTTGTAAAAATCTTAAACTTTTAAGTTTTAGAAAGTTTTTTTTAATAGTGATTTGCTTAACATTAATTATATACATATACAATTAGTATAAAACAGAATACAAGGGAAATAAGTTCTTCCAAAACTCGTTCTGCATTTCTCTTGTAAACTTCTTTTAACTTCCCATTACAAAACAAAAGCGGAACAAAATCATCATATCGCACTATTTGAAACTAGTTAAGAAACACTTTTTTTAATAAATCCCAACTGGCATCACTGGTGAGTGTACTGGTGTGCAACGGAAAAATTTCTATTCATAATTTCTTTCGCAGCGGGTGCACTGCATCCGCGCGGGGAGTTGGAGGAGCTGGTACATGCAGATACAAGATACTTTGTGTCACAACGGCAGCAGCGACAGAGTACAGCAATCAGCCAGGAGAAATGGTGGCCGGGTGTTCTCTGGCAGCAGCAACAACCATTACTACATCGAGAACAACTTTGCCGGTCGCCAGTCGCCGGGAATGTTGTCTAGGCACGCATAAAATTTATTATAATGACATCATAAATTCAGCCCGCTATGTGTGTGGATAAATGAGTGACAAAGCTCTCCCGCCCTCCGTTCGAGCGGCAAAAATGGCAAATCATTTATCAAATAATAAAAAACAGAGACTATTCGCAGTAAGCAAGAAGTACGTTACAGAAGAGGAATTGGCAGCGCTCAGCAAAAATGTCGGGGGAAAATTTTCAAGGGTCTAAGCCTAGCCCTCCGCCTCACTTGAAAAAACCAAAATAATAACTGAAGATCAGCGTAATATCTTCACTGAACCATATAATATTAAATTTGAGCTGAGATAACGATATCAATTTACATTTCATTTAGGTCTACAAAATCTAAAATAATATTTCTAGTTGGAAAGGCTAGAATTTCAAGATGTTTTTTTCTTTTCCAAGTGTATATTACATGCCATTTAGGCAATGCAACAATGACGACAGACATCCACCGATGGCAAGAAAGATTTATCGATTGCTCTTTTTGGCTCAGTCCTAACCCCATCGCATTATTTGGTATTGTTATTGCTGCGTTCAAGTTTATCCACAACGTCCTCCGTTCCCAGTTCCATGTCCACACATTAACTGGCTTATAGCACCCGCCAAAGGACTATCCACCGAAACGTAGACCCACCACCGAGGACCGTCTCACCCTCACACAAACGTATCACACCCACTGGCTTCTGCCGCACGCTCATGCGACTGCACACACACTGAGGGAAAGTGTACTACACTTAAAAATATATTTTTTTACTTGTCAATTAAATGCACAATACCTTGGATTTCGTTTTCAGATACCAACTATTTAAGAAATTCAGCAACTTTGAAGATTCCCTATTATATAGACTTTGTTTTCAGTGCAGTCGCGTCGCCCCATGTGGCCCTTGTTGTCGGCTCCCAGCCCAGAGTTGGCACGCTGCTTTGTCACCAGGCTACTGTTCAACATGCCACCAGCAACCCGAAACTCCAAACTTGCAACTTGCCACTCGCCACTTGGACGCCGGACAGAAGTAGCGCTAAAGCGCCAAAAATATGCTAGAAACCATAGAAACTGGCAAAACTGCTGGGAAACCTAGCGTTTTATCTAATTAGTGAGTGCAGAATCAAAAGGATGGAATTATGGTTGCACAGCATGGGAGCCACCAGTCCACATTACAGCTGGCATTGCATTAAAGCACGAGTATGTACCATATAAGCGGATATAGTGAAATTATGAGCAGTTCTGAGAATGTCTATACCTAATCTACTGTTTTTCAGCATAATTTAATTACCTTTTGCATTAACATTGGTTAATACTATATCTATTTTCAGATTATATATTATATAAACCAGTTTATTAACAAAATGATTTATTTTTGATACATGTCTTAAATCTTAAATCTTCGTTTCCCGCCTTCAATGGTCTTTGAAAATTCAATAAACAATAAATAAAGTCCCGAATGGCAGCTTAAATTGTTTCTATTGATAATCACATTTATGGTTAACATAAAGCTCTCGCTGGCGTTCTTTTGTGTACAATGGGTATTTTACAATTCCGGCATAAAATAAAGATAGTTTTTGGGTTTAGCTTAAATTTGCTTTTATTCTCGTATTATTTTTATGTTCTGTAGCCCCACACGAATATTTCACTGTTTGCTTGTAAAATTGGAGCAAAGCTCTTAGCTCTGAGGGTGGTTTGGTGGACCCCAGGGGCGGTTTGGAGGGGGAGAAATGGAACGGCGGCTTTGAGTGGAATAAAAAACGAGGGGAAAAAACATTTCTGATTGTTAATGTCGCGGTTAATGTTTTGCTTTCCGGATCCTCTCCCCCAGCCTTATATCCTGTCCTTTCTTTCTTGCTGTCTGCCTGTTGGTTTCTCAGATATTACGACTGCCGTGGGAGTGGGCAACTTGAAAGACTTTGAAGCTGGAACAGCCACCGCACGATATTACATTTCTGCTCTGCCCCGCTCGTATTGTTTTGACGAAATGCCATGTTTTGATTGGGGTGCAGGAGTGCCATTCTAATTAAAAGCGAAATAATTGAAAATCCAGTGGCAAATGTTGTGAAAGGATTTGGGTATAAATGAAAATTGCCAGTACGAAATGGTGGTACTTTCTAATTTCAGAACTGCACAATTTTGGTGGTAAAGAACTAATATTAATTAATATAAAAAAAATTCTGTTATATTTCGATACTATAACTTTTGGTAAAACCAACTCAAACTTCTGAGAAACATTTCTTACAGATTCTCTTTGAGGTTATAAATTTTTGTCAGTGCTTCCAAAATTTGTAAGGTCTGACTTTGTAAATAATTAAATGCAATCAAATATCAAATACATTTCGGTCTTTAATGGCTTATTCCAGGTACTGCAGTTATTTAAATTCACAAGTGGTTTATCTTCATACTTGATGTAATGACAGAACAATTCCCACAAACACATAACCCTCATTTGGAGATGAGAGCAGCTTATCAAGTAAACTGCAATTGACAGCTACAAGGACATTTCCATTGATCAGCTTGTCGCTGTTCAATTAGCCCTTCAATTAACTGAAAACTGTCCACTTCATCGCCGCCTGTCACTTCGAATCGCACTCTCGCTAAATAGTTTTCCCCCGAATGGGCCGATTCTCCCAACTTTTGGGCCACTCACCTGCACTTTGCAACTGGATGCCTCCTGACGTCCTGACGCCTGACGTTTTCCGTCTAATCCGTGCCAACGGCTGCTGCCCGAGTTATGAAAACATGAGATCACAAATTGCAAGGGACAACCGGGGGAGGGCGAGAGGGGGAGGGGCGGGAGGCGGTAGGCGGTAGGCGGATCCGGAGTCGGAGGAGTGGGCCAGTTGCAGTCACCGGTCGTAAATGTGTGCCGTGTTGTAAGAGGATGCACTGGCTCTCTCGGTAGCTCGCTCTTTCTCTATCTCTTTCTCGCCTGCTCTGCTCTGCCACTTATTTCGACTTCGATTTGTTTTAATTTCCGCTGAAGCTGCTTTTACTTCCGGGGCAGTGAGAACGCAAAATGCAAATTGCAAATAGCTACGTGGGTGCTTTTGTTGTTAGAGACAAATCGCTGGTTCGGTGGTCAATGGCTTGGAACTCGAAATGGCAGTACATCCTTGCAGCCTCTCTCTTTGCGCTTTGCTACTTTCTCCGCTGTCCTTTCGTTGCCATTCTTTTCGTTTCACAGTTTCGTCGTTTTCACCGCTTTCTCTGCAACTGTTTTGCTGCGGCATTTTTTTCGCCACTTGTGTGTTAATTTCAGCATGTTTTTGGGTTCCCGGAAAAACTGCAACTTATCTTTTTGGCTTTTAATTGATTTCTGCGCGAGTGTGTGAACGGGCGCGTGTGTGTGGATGAGGGTGTGCGGGTGAGCGGGGGAGCCAGCAGCGGAATGCGTCCGTGTGGCAGCGCGGAGCTTTCGCAACTATGCGAATTTCCTACGTACGAATTTCAGTATAATAAAATATCCTGTTCCGTTTCTAAGTTGAGAAAGAGAGCAAGAGAGCGCGAGCTATTGTCCTGCGCGTGCGCCGCGAATTTGGAGCAACTCAATGCTGCTGGCGATAACACGGATACGGACACAACACCAATGCACGCACACGCCCACGTACACCCACCACCGCGATGGCGCTCCCTCCCTCTCCCTCTCACTCTCACTCCCACTCCACAACTCCCTATTGCTTTTTTCACTTTGCTGCGGCGTTTTTCCTTCGCTTTTCCTCGCTGTTCAACGGCACTCTAAGTTGTTTCCCGTTTGATCGCACCTCTTGGGCACCTGGCACACGTGGTTCTCCGTGTTTTTTCACTGCAATTGAGTTTTTATTCAGTGAAATAACTGAAAAATATTCGCTGATCGGAAGTGAAACACTCGAGAGCGAAATGCAGCGTGCAAGAGCGAGACTGCACGACTGTCATCAGCTTTTACCGTTGCACGCAGTGTTGCGGGGGGTGGTGAGGGGGCGTAACCAAAGCGCAGGCGCAGGAAATATACCGTTGTCCGACCTAAAATCGGTATATACTTCAAATTGGCTACTAAACCGAAATAGAATACAGGAAATCAAGAAATAATACTAATTTGAATTCATAATATCCATATTGTTATGTGGGTTACTTACAGTTAAATATATAAAATACAAAAGACAGTGTGTATTTTTTAATGCTAACGGCGTAAATAATACTAATAAAATATTAAACAGACAACATAAATATTATTTATATTTTATGTACCAAGCAATATTACAACAATTAAAATACCTTTATATTTCCTCTTTATTTTTTGTGATATCTCTTAAAAATTAAGTCCCCGCCAAACGCGTTCCTGAGAAATGTCCTAGAGCGTTTGGGACAGTCGGCTCAGTTGTTCAGAAATCCAGTTGGCATGTCCGCGCGTTACCTATCGAAAAATACAAAATACCAAAAACTCCGATTTGTCGAGATGCGGTATCACTACCACCGGTTCGATAGTCCGATAAGTTGGGACAAAAAACACCTCCTGTAATAGCGGTTATTTGGGTCAACTTAAACAATGTTTTTGCATAACACGAAGCTCTGCAGACTCGCAGGTAAGCAGACGAGTGTTGATAGTGTCTACCAGAACCATGACCCCTTCCGCCCACAGGCAGCCTAGCGGGCGGCGTTCGCCACCTAAGCGGCCAGAAGCCAAAGACCGCAATCCTAATGCTCAACATGGGCGGACCGACGCACACGGACCAGGTGCACGACTACCTGCTCCGCATCATGACCGACCGGGACATGATCCAGCTGCCGGTGCAGAGCCGCCTGGGTCCGTGGATTGCCCAGCGCAGGACGCCAGAGGTGCAGAAGAAGTACAAGGAGATCGGCGGGGGCTCCCCGATCCTGAAGTGGACCGAGCTGCAGGGCCAGCTCATGTGCGAGCAGCTGGACAGGATTTCCCCGGAGACGGGTCCCCACAAGCACTACGTGGGCTTCCGCTACGTCAATCCGCTCACAGAGAACACGCTGGCCGAGATCGAAAAGTGAGTTGGGTTGGGAAGCCGGAAAAGAGTGATGTAAACATTGCAAGGTTCTTAAAATTGGTCTTCATTACCATCAGTCTCTTGAAATTCATAAGAGCTAAAAATGCATAGATTAAATTGGTGTTGGTATTTGCCCCAAAGATTTTGTTTTAATATTAAAAATGTGTCTTCGTCTCAACCCATTTTATCTTATCTATCAACATGGATAATTATAATTGAACTGTTAATGCCTATACTCACAATCTAATTGCAGCGACAAACCAGAGCGCATTGTCCTCTTCTCGCAGTATCCACAGTACAGCTGCGCAACCTCCGGATCCAGCTTCAACTCCATATTCACTCACTACCGCAGCAAGTGAGTAATTGATCCCTACAAAAATTCAATGATAAATCACGATTTCTTCCCTCCAGTAACCTGCCCTCGGACGTCAAGTGGAGCATCATCGACCGGTGGGGCACCCATCCTCTCCTTATCAAGACTTTTGCCCAGCGAATTCGCGATGAACTGGCCAAGTTCGTGGAGACAAAGCGTAACGATGTGGTCATCCTCTTTACCGCCCACTCCCTCCCTCTGAAGGCTGTGAGCCGGGGCGATGCGTATCCCTCGGAGATCGGGGCTAGCGTGCACATGGTGATGCAGGAACTGGGCCAGACGAATCCCTACAGTCTGGCCTGGCAATCCAAGGTGGGCCCGCTGCCCTGGCTGGCCCCTGCAACCGACGATGCCATCAAGGTGCGTCTCGAATAAGGAGTTTTCAATGGGTCAAGTTATAAAACCAATAAATCTTCACAGGGCTATGTCAAGCAAGGCCTCAAGAACTTCATCCTGGTACCCATTGCCTTTGTGAACGAGCATATCGAGACGCTGCACGAGCTGGACATCGAGTACTGCGACGAACTGGCCAAGGAGGTGGGCGTGGAAGAGATCAGGCGGGCGGCGGCCCCCAACGACCACCCGCTGTTCATCGACGCCCTGAGCAACATTGTGGCAGACCACCTGAAGTCACAGCAGTCGGTCAATCCCAAATTCCTCATGCGCTGCCCCATGTGCTCCAATCCAAAGTGCAGGGAGAGCAAAAGCTGGTACCGACAGCTCTGCTCAAACTAGGCAACCGAGGCGATTCGCGGGATTGGGATGCGCTGCGTGACAGGCATTCCAAGTGCTCCAGCTGGGGCGAACATTTGTGCATTCATTTGGGTTTCTGGGGGATTGGTTTTCACATATTTCATTACTGGCGCTTTAATAAAAGACACTGTTGAACAGTAAAAATAGTGCATAGTGGTGTGCAGTTTTCTTTTGGCTTAGACAGATTAACATCGATCGCTTGGGCAGAGAGCAACAATCTCTTATATGGGTCACAGCGAAATGTTACTTTTGGTTTAAGGAACCACCAATATTATTATCTATAGCTTGGTATGATATAAATTTGTATGCCAGCATGAAAGTATTGATAATTAACCAATCATCGTGATATTTGTCTCACTGATGATGGGTCATACGAAGTTGAACGCATATAATATAGCCCTCCTCATACCCCCGAATAATTTAAAGTTAGAGCTTTTCTAGAAATAAATTTTACCTATATATAACGGTCGTTTAAAAACAACGAATTTTTAAAGTATAACTATAATAGTTAGGACTTTATAATAGGTTTTACTCCACATTTTTAAAACTTAAAAAATACTTATACATGCATGTATAAAAATATATTGTAACTAAACTAATATACCCTTCCAAAATGAAGTACTCAGTACGATAACCATAACAAAAGCTACGCTCTCTTTCTCTTGTCGTCGCACGTGCGGTAGTTCAGTTTCAGTATTTTTTCATCGAACAGCTGTTCGACTGTCAGTTTGTTCTTGCCTCAGATGTTTATTAAATGAAATTCGACTTTTGATTGTTCAAATGGCTGACCGAATTGGCCAAAGCTGGACGTCTCTTCTTCGCCTTCTGAACACTCCCCCTCTCGGACACTCCAACTTGTGCATTTCACATCCTGCAGCACGGTCTATGGAAATTCCCAGAATATTGCATAATTTAGCCTTCTCGGGCCTCCAAATTGGAACTTCGACTTTGTATTTATTGGCGGCTCTCACGGAAATTAACCAGCCAATTGCCTTTGATTTCCCACATTTCGCCAATTGAGCCGTTGATTTTTAATAACTAACCAGGCGCATTTTGTCCACAGTGGCCTGGATCGAGAAATCTAATCGCCTCGCCACAGGGATCATAAATTAATTCGACGAGCACACTCGGAATCCGAAAATGAGCAGGTACCACAAAAGCCGAGGAGCTGCTGGATCCACGAATCCGGTAGGGCCAGTCTACGGCCAGATTTCGACGTTGGACGACGCCGCTCCGAATCCCGCGAATTTCGCCAGGTGAGCGCCGAATTACACTTCTTTGGGTTTGTTTACGCTTTTCTCCAACTATAGAGCGAAAACCAGTTTGGAATTGGGTTTAAAAGCTGCAGGCGGGCTTTTTTCCCCTCTCTTTCTCTAATTTAGTCTGACATTATGATTTATGATCATTTCGAGACGCATCAGCCATAACCCCAGATTGTAAAATTTATGTAGCGAAAAAGACAATTCATCTACATATCTATCTTTAAACTCGGAAAAATGTTTTTTTTTATCAGAAATATTGGGAACATATATTCACAATTGGATTACCTAAGAAATAAACTACAACTTTCTTTCGCACAAACAGCAGACTATTTTCAAATTCAAAAATTGTAGTACTCTGTTGGGTTTCTAAGTCTACATTTCTACATTCTTGTACTGAACAAATTTAATCGTAGCTGTAACTCATTTTCGCCTGGTATCAACCTTGTAAGCAGTGTAAATGTAGCAAACTAAAACTTCGAGTTTCTAATCACCAGAAAACATTCATGAAAATAGTTGTATATCTGATATGGATATTGATATTGAACAGGAAAAAAAATTCAATTAACATGCATGAGTATGCATTTTTTAGAACGATTGCACTTTAAACGTAAGGGAAAGTTTGACGCATTTTATCAATGAGATATAAATTGGGTATGATCTTATCTCCGCTTTAGGCAAAGTTATTGCGACAGTCTTCCATATTTTACTTTTTTACCAGTTCATCAAAAATCTAACGGACGGTTTAATGTCTTCCGAAGCTGAATATGTCATATAAGTTTGGGTGAGGGTTTAAGATGAAATTATTTCCTATATTCGGTTTGCAATGCTAGGTTTCCGATTGTGATTCTTATCGTCTTCAGCCAGATACGTGCAGAGAACGGCACTCCAGTCGGCTGGTCACAAATTAATTGAATTAGGAGATTAGATGAGGTATGTGACCACCGGCATACCACTCAATATCACTTGAAAATAAGATTAGTGCTGAGATATATCCAGCCACCTCTTAAGTTTCATAATTGGTTTTTTGATATATCCAATCGCTTACTGTGGCAAATTTTAAAAGTGGTTGCGTCGTTATATATCTAATCTTTTAATTCGACGTGCCCAAAAAGTACAATTTCTTAGATCAATCAATATTACTACATGCCATAAGTGTACAATTAATATATTTTAATTTAATTGTAATTAATACTCGGTAAATATTTCTTCGGTAGCACATACATACACAATTTTTCCGTGTGGAACCCATGTGTAACGTAAAACCACCACATACTGTAATCGTATTTGCTAGGTTATCTGTCCAAAAGACAAACATAATGCACTGTAAATACCATATGCTCATTATCAAGACTTTTTAAGGCTTATCTGAACCACTGGGCGAAACTAACAGGGAATTTTGACATGGGTGCCATAAACCTATACAAATAGTAGTCTACAATGTTGCAAGCTTGAAATAGCTTTTTATGAACTCGGAGCAGAATGAGGTAGAACTCAGATTGTTATTAGCTATATTACAAGAGTATACACACATAAATGCACCGGTATTAACATACAAAATATTTTCTTTGTTTGTTTAAAAGAACTGGTTAATTCTTTTCAGACAGTTATACAGAAATATCCAAATATCCAATTAATCATAATAATAATCAGATTATAAAAAAGTAAATTTTATTTAAGTATGAAAAGATAATTAGCACTTTGTTTAACATGTATATTACTTAGACTCTATCTAATCTTCCTTCCACAGATGCCCCTCGCTTGAAGCCAAGAAAAGTGAGCTGAGTTTGTTCCTTAACTGGGAAAGCAAAAAAAAAACTATGGAGATGACCTCGAGGCTGAGAAACCGGAGCTGGATCGTCGACGTGCTGGCCATCTTCTTTGGCATCGGAACCTGGCTGGGCGTGAATGGCACCTTCATCCAACTTCCCCTACTGGTGGACGAGGCTCCAGAGGGTTGGAGTCTACCATCCTATCTCAGCGTTATGGTGCAGATTGGCAACCTCGGCCCGCTGCTCTACACGGCCATCCAGAAGTATTCCCCCAAAAAGCTGAATGACGGGTGGACCATCCACGGAGTGCTCCTGGTGGGAGCCTTCTCCTGCTTGCTGACGGCGTTCTTCTACAACCAAACTGCTCCGGTGGCTGGCGCGGATCACAGCTTGGCCCTATTTGTGCTAACCTGTTTCACGGCGCTGAATGCCTGCACAAGCTCGGTGCTCTTTATGCCCTACATGGGTCGCTTCAAGGAGCAGTACATGGTAACCTACTTCATTGGCGAGGGCCTGAGTGGACTTCTGCCCAGCGTGTTCGCTTTAATCCAAGGAATCGGCGAGAGTGGCGACTGTGTCTTGGTCAATGTAACAGAAACTGGACAGGAGATCTATGAACTACAAAAGACACCGCCACGATTCGACACCCGAGTCTTCTTCCTCATCCTTTTCGCTCTGATGGTGCTCGCCTATGTGGGGTATGCACTCCTGAACTCGCTCCCCGTAGCCAGGAGGGAGTACGCCCAGGTGACCGTCAGCGAGGGCAACAAGTACGTGTACGGAGAGGCGGATAACCAGCCCAAGGCGGAAAAACTTAGCAAAGGACAGTACACGTATCTGCTCCTGCTGATCGGAGCCATCTCGCTGTTCAGCAACGGAATGTTTGGCAGCATACAGTCCTACTCGAGTGCCCCGTACGGATCCCAAGCTTATCATCTGGCGGCCACCCTCAGTGTGATTGCCAATCCGGTAGCCTGCTTTATGGCCATGTTCCTGCATTTCACATCCCTGCGGATCATCACAGTGCTCTCTATCCTGGCTGGTCTGCTGACCAGCTATGTTTTCACAACAGCCGCAATGAGTCCTCTGCCACCACTTCACGACCAAACCATTGGCGCCATACTCGTCGTTACCGCCTGGACTTTGCTGGTGGGAATTGTGAGCTACACGAAACTGGGAATCACCACAGTTATGAGGGCGCAGGGGGGACAGTCGCTGGTCTGGGTGGGCGCCATAACGCAGCTGGGATCTGCCATCGGAGCGGTGGCCATCTTCTTCGCCATCAACTATTCGGATCTGTTCCAGGCCGCGGAGTCGAGCTGCTGACTTCGCAGTGAATTCGGCCGAGCCAGAATATCCAGGGATGCATCGCGATTTTATAGATGATTTTACCGTAGTTTGAGCCCAGTTACTCGCCTGGATGTTAAACTAAACATATGTTTTAAACTCTAATGTTCCATACGTTTTCTAGGTTTAAGACCTAATTTTAGTTTAACATGCAGGCAACAAAACGGCCTTTAGTGTGATATTTTCATATTTGTAATTCCACCTCAATCGTCACAATGAAGACAATACCTTATTACCTGAACGAGTTTGATATTTTACTCATGTTCGGAGGTAATATTTTAACACTCGAAAGGAGTTCCTAGTTAGCCCGCCCAAGCATGAATACTTATGTCACAAAATAATGAAGCATTTACCTCTGTTTGCCCCTAAGATACAATCAGAGGCAAACTAATATTTGATTAACATCTCAGACGGTATATATGTATGATAAGTAACGAATTTTTAGCTAAAAACATAAGATTATTGAATATTATCCCACAACCTGTTATTAAACTTAGTCTTGAAAAGCTTATTTTGTGTTGTACAATTCATATACCATTATTTGTTTACAAGGTAAATAACAAATCTCGGGATCACTACTAACTAATTATACAACATTTATCCAATATTTGTATTTAACGTTCATTTTGATAAGTCATTCTGTATACTAAATTTAAAGGACTGTCGGCATTTAAAAACTTAGATTTTATTTTTTACATCATTCTTATACCAACTTTTACGTGTAGTTTACGATGATTTTAATGGACGAGTCATATGAGCTTTTTTTAAATTTCAATTCTTTTATATATCCATAAAACGTAAAATATTTATCTATAAACTGTTTGCAGTCGTTCAAAAGATACTTTTAATTTGTATCCCCTTCTTTCGCGACTGTCATTTTGAGTTTGACTTCATTATCAGCCAGTCATTTAGGGAACGGCCTCCGTGGAGGTGAACTTATCCGCCTGTTCAACTTCGCTGTCGATGTCGCCTTCGTATCCCGAATTGGTTTTCGAGGCGACAGGGAGGGGTTTTCGTCCTCCAGATTCGTGGGACTCATCCAAGCTGCAGCAGCTGCAGAAGCACTCTGTGAAGTGCCGGCAGGTGTCGCCCAACTTCTCGGGAGCCGCCTCCAAGACCTTGTTGAAGGCCTCGATCTTCTCGCGGAGGCTGCGACTGGCACTAGGACTCCCAAACAGCTGGCTTCCTTGAGGAGATGGCCTTGGAGATTCGTTGCCAATCTTCTCCAGAAAGCCGAGAACCTTCTCCAGCGATTCCCGGGCACGTTTGAAGCTGAGTAGACTTTCCCGCAAAACTTGGCTCTCATTGAGGTGCTCGAACTCCACTAAAAGTCCATGAATCTCGGACAAATCCGAGGGCAAACTTATACCTGCCACAGTGGGGATTTGCGGGGCGTTCGCCGCATTAGCCGTTTCGAAACCCATGATCAGGCGTCGGATCTTGGTGGCCTGGGCCTGGTGGCCACTCCTCGCCAACTGCATCATGTTGTTCACGTCGCCCACCTCCTTAAGTAGTTGCAACGAAGACTGAACGACCATCTGGTGCTGTTGGATTCCCTCTCGCAATCGATCCCGCAGGTTTTGGAGGTAGGCACTTATCCGACGCACCTGCTCTTTTTCATCTACATTCTCCAGAAAGACTGGGGTATATTTAAAAAAGTTAGTATGGGTATAGAAATTAAAACCAGGATATACGGTTTTCTATATATTTAAAGGGATCACGTTGGGGGAGTGTTTTCCAAGCCGAAGAGCTTACCAGGAATCATTTCCTCGGTCTCTGACATTGTATTATTGTCGGCCATTACGATTTTCCTAAGTCAACTAGGGTCTTCCAAAAAACACAACAAATTTTCGAAACTCTGGTTACAAAATCTGATCTAAACTGACTACCTCGGTTGATGTTATACAGTTTCGATACGTAAAACTCTAGGGTATAGAGATGAAAAATTAAAATGCATTTTCTGAACACTGCACCTTTATCTCTCATCAGTTTATCAATCGGGTTTTAATTTTAAATAGACTTTGTAAGTTACCTATTTGTTAAGGTCTGACAAGGATAATCTTTCCAAAATTCTGAATTTTAATGCAACAGCTAATATCGTATAGTCCACAGTAGAGGTGCACCAGCTGAATTAAAATTAAATTTAAATAATTAAGATTTTAACTCCCTTATCCAAGATTCAAGCCCCGGTTAATCTACAATTTTCGAGCACCTTGGTACCACTGTAACTGGCTGGGCAAACAGCTGTTCGGTGGTTTCTCGGTTTGTATACTTTCTGTTTTAGTTTTGATTAGGGCGATGCGATGTGATGATAAAACCGTCGAAACGAGTCGTCGCAGTTCTCTGAAAAATACACTGATGTGTTCGCTTTTCTGGCTGTAATTTTACCAACTGCAAATATATTTTTAATGTGCTTTTCTGGCCTTTAAAAGTGCGAAATTGAGTGTTAAGTTCCGATGTGAAAAAGTGTTCTGCGGTTCCACTCCGAAGCCACAATTTTCTCGACTAAAAAAAGAACAGCACCACCGGAGTGTGAGAGCGATATGCTTGGACCGCTGCCCCACTGGAGACCACAACAGAACCTGATTCCGGAGCCCACCCATTGTAGCCTTAGCCTCTCGACTGTCGTGTGAAGAACACCATTTGACCGAACCGGTAAGATGACCCTCTGGCGAAACCTGCGCTCCCTGGAGACCCGTAACCTGGACCTGGCCCTCAGCCAGCGGGAGAACCAGTTGGTGGCTGGCCACCTCCCCTCGGCCATTTTCCGCGAGCGACTGAGTGCGGCGGAGAACCTCTACCAGCGTAATCTGACCGGTCACTATGGTTGTGTAAATGCCCTGGAGTTCAGCCCGGGTGGTCAGTTCCTGGCCTCAGGTGAGAGGAACAACCTGTTGATAGCTGCCCTCCTGACGTCCTGCTAATCCATGTTAATCATTAATCTGTCAGGGGGCGACGACAAGAGGGTTCTGCTGTGGAACGTCGACCGCGAGGTGGTGTCCAAATTGGGAAAGCCCCGATCCATGAACGAGAAGCATGCCAGCAACATATTCTGTTTGGGATTCGATACCCAAAACACCTACGTCTTCTCCGGTGGAAACGATGATTTGGTCATACAACATGACCTGGAAACGTGAGTTCCTTAAAGGATATCTTTTAAAAAGCAGAAAATAGTAGTTCATTCTAAAATGTTAATGTGAACCCCAAAGGGCCGTTCACCGGATTTCTTAAAACCATTATCCATTATGTATATTTATTTTAATCAATGTCAAAGCACACACATAAATATGCTGAGGACTAACATTTAATTTTTTTTAAGTAAATAGATATTTGCTCTACTTTAATTCCCCTCGGAACACATTTAAAGCAATAACTTTTAACTCCATGCTTATATTATAAAGAGGAAAAATCCTTAACCACTTCTCGCACGATGGACCCGTCTACGGCTTGAGTGTGGACAGGACCAGTGGGCATCTATTGAGCGTGGCCACGGAGCATGGCGAGATCCTAGTCTATGACCTGAGGGCAGGGAAGTCGGAACCGCTGGCCCTGGCCAAATTCAAGACCCCCTTCAATGCTGTCGAGTTTCATCCACTGAACGGAAACTTCCTGGCCACTGCCAACGCCAAAAGGGGAGCCATGCTCTGGGATCTGAGGCACCACCAGCAGTAAGTTCTCACGGGACTTCCAAGGATCAATGCACTCACATTTCGTAATCCAGGGCCCTTTGCCAGTACAACTACATCCCGGAGTCCCCGAGCTGCATGAGCGTGCGCTTCAACTGCAATGGCACCCTGCTGCTCACCCTGCACCGCCGGCTACCACCGATCCTCTACAGCCCCGGGGCACCGGAGCCGGTGGCCACCTTCTACCACGACGAGTACTTCAACTCCTGCACGATGAAGAGCTGCACGTTTGCGGGGCCGCAGGACGAGCTGGTGGTCTCGGGGTCGGACAACTTTAACATGTTATCTGGCGGCTGGACGGAGTGGACTGTAAGTTGGCCTAGGTGAACTCCCCATAAATGTACTATGTGATTCTTCTTATTCCTCCAGTGGAGGAGAAAAACCAGTGGATGGAGACCCAGCCCGTAATCCTCACCGGCCACCGTTCCATAGTCAACCAGGTGCGCTACAACCGTCAGCGCTGTTTGCTCGCATCCTCCGGCGTCGAAAAGATCATTAAAGTAAGTAAAAGGGGATGACTAGAATGGCCCAAATAATCCTCTATACTTCACTCCTCAGCTGTGGAGCCCCTTTGCCCAGCAGGGCTGGGAGGGATCCCTAACACAAGCCGAAACCATGGCGTACTGTAGCCGCGCCCTGCACCGCGAGTCCTCGGATCACGTGTCCCAGGACTTCAGTGCCCGCAACACGGACGAGGACCAGGTGATGCTGGCCTTCTTCGACACGCTGGTTCAGCGCGAACTCGAGTCCTGGAGCACCGTGGACAACCAGAGCAGCTCAAGCAGCAGTTCTGACACGTCCACGGAGCGAAGCGAGGTCACTTCTGCCACGGAAGAGCCCAGCGACGAGGAGCGTCAACCCGATCAGGACCCTCAGCCGGAGCAGGATCAAGAGCAGGACAACGAGCAGGACGTCGACACGCCCAATGTCAGCGAACTGAGCTGGCAGACTCATCCGAATCGCATATTCTACCTAATCGCCAAGAAGCGGCGAGCTCTGCTCCAGCTGGCGGTGAGGGGCACCACTGGACAGCCGCGCAACGTGGACCAGTTGCTCCAGAGGCTCCTCAGCGAGCAAAAGCAGGTTGCCACGCAGGCGCGGATCAGCGACTGGTTGGAGGAGACTCACCGCATATTCAGAGACGATGAGCTGCCCACCACGTCGGCGGAGGCAGCGGCCGGGAGCAGCGACGTCGAGCCTGCGATCAGCTCAGCCGGAGTCCTCGACGAGCTCCGGAACTAAATCGGGTGAGTTTGGTTACCTCGGCTTTAATATTAAATACCAAAAACATATATTTAAATTCGGGTCAAAAAGATTGGTATTCGCTTTCGCCTTAAGAAGATCTCCGCCAGACACACAGCAGCCGAGAGTAGACATCCAATGGTGAGGGCGTAAAAGGCCAGCTGGAAGTCAGACATGGTGAGCACTTTCCACCGACCGACGTCCATTTCGGCCAAGTAGTCGGGGAACCGCTGGATGCTCCACTTGGCGCGCTCCTTCGCCTCGGCCGTCCACAGACCCACGATCCCTGCGGCCACCAGGCGCAGCACGACCCGGTTGACCTCCTCCAAATAGGGCGAGGGGCGTGGAAGGACATAGGCGATGTGATAGTTCTTGGGGCACTCGGGGATCTTGTGCACTTTCTTCGTCATCACGTAGCGTATGTCGCTGAGCTCCAAGCTGGCGGAGCGAGTGACGCCCGCAAAGCCTCCCCTCTTGGACACCATCTCAATGAGGCGCTCCTCGCCCTCGGCCACCAGCAACATCTTGGCATCCAGCCGACGGTAGACCGCCGAATCGTGGCCGTAGAAGAGGTCGTCCTTGAAGGCAGGATGTTTGATATAAATGGGCTGGCCAGATTCATCCAGTTCCTTTAGGGTACTCGGATCTCGATAGTAGAGCGGTCGTATATAGACTGTGGCCAAACTGGACTCGAGCAGGGCTCCAAAAATCACGCTCACTAGGCACAGAGAAGCCACAAAGATGCGTTCCGAGTGGAAGGGGGGAAAGCATCCAACATTCACCCGAACCCAAACGACCCAAGTGTCGATAAAGATACGACGAGCTGCTTCAAAATAACTAATCCTTGTAGTACGCGATCCAATCGGTATGCGTTCTATGCCTAAGCCCAGGTTTAGAGCCCTCAGAAGAAGCCAGACTAGGGTTCCTAGGAGACCCACCAGGAGGAAGCACAGCCACACGTCCGAGTGAACAGCGAAAAGGGGAAGGATGGACTGGGGAATCCTTTGAGCCTTCTTCACAAACAGGCACAGTTCGTCCATGTACACGGCTGCGCTGAACTGGATGTGGGTTGTGAGGTAATCCTTGATGAAGAATCCCGCAAAGATTATGTCCACCTCGCCACGGTGAGCACGTCCCACTCCGCCACTATATGATCCATCCGCCAGACGACCTCCAAAGTACTCGTCATCCGGCCACACATATTCGGGCGTAAAGTTCAATTGCCTTGCCACTGTTCTGGCTAATTTGGCATCCGCTCCATTTACAGCCAGTACCTTGTTGCTTTCGTCATCCGCAATCACACTAGAGTAAACCGAATCAAAGATGTATATCCTCAAAGGATATCCCTCTAGATTCTTGTAGATCCTTCCATAAGTTTTGGGATCTTGGACCACTTCGTAACCCTGCTTAAACGGATTATAGAGGAGTAGTCGTTCACTCCTCGACTGGACATAGTATACCCGACTGTGTCCATACTCAAGCCAAACATTAGCCATGAAGTCCATTAAGATTGCATCATCCTCAGGGGTATCCTTCTCCAAGGCCAATATGTAAAAGCCATCTGTATTGACTAAACTGGTTAGGATACCTTGCATTTCCTTTACGTTTTCAAACATGTAGAATTTATGTCGTCCAGTTTCCGCTGTTTGTGGTTCTTCCTCTTGATTCAAACTTATTTGAAGAGAGTTCATCCCTTGCACCATTATAAAGTGTACAAGATCATTGGCTCCCTTTCCGGAATTCCCTAGATGAAGTTCAAGGCCGCCCTCAAGCTGGCCCAAAATCGAGGACAGAACTATCTTGTAGTCCGTGTTATTGGCTTGACCAAGCGTTCCTCCCACTAGAGCCAGCATAATTAGCTGCAGAGTAGTCGCCATATCAGGAGTTACTGAACCTGTGACTGAGATTGTGGAGCTAACAATAGACAGGATACGAGGGTTTAGGTCGGCTGACAAGTTGGAAGTGTTTGCTTAGTGTCAGAACCATTGACACCTGAGGGCGGACTGCTACCCACAATTATTGGCAAGTGTCTGGTGTTTGTTGACACTACTTGACTTGGACCCATGACTCGCCCATTTATGCTTGGACAATGTTGTTCTGTTCCGTTTCTGTAATCATATACGTCCTATTAATAAGAAACTTATTGGAGTGATTGGATTGGAGTCATCCCATACTTTACTTTCTAACCAATCCAAGCCGTCTTCTCGTTTCTAGTTGACACGCTGAAATCCAGAATCGGGCAAAGGGACCGCAAACGAAAATTGAAGAGCCAGCGTTTATCGACCACCAAGCACAGGAGGACGACTCTTCGACTGCGTCCCAGCGAGATGGACGACAGTGGTGCCTCTAATGACACCGAATATCTGGAAAGGAACAACGACTCGGACGAAGAGGAGCGGTCATCAGGGGACAATCAAAACAATAGTACTAATGAAAGCGTCCACACCGAAGAGGAAGGGGAGAGTTCCTCCACAACTTCGATGACCTCCATGGAGGCGCAGTTGTCCCAGGCTCCCAGCACCTCCAGTTCGTTTCCCTTTCTACCGGAACTGGACCAACAACAACAGCCAGCTTACGTCCAACCACAATCATAAGATATTCATTGGTCTGACTCCTGATATTTGTAACACAGAGTCAACAGCATCCTCATCTTCATCCATGTAGGTGGGACCCATACTGGAGCTAAGATTCCCAGCTATTTAAATTTAAATAGCGTTCTAGGCTTAAATATGGATTTATAAGACCCATCCACCTTTATTTTGGAACTCAGCTGAACACACACTTATTTGTTTATAGCATTCATAGCTTTCATAGAAAGTATTATTCACCACAATGCGCCCTTTTACGAAAAAAAGGGAGGATTTAATAACATAAAAACAAAACAAACATTTTTTTTTAAACACAACTCATGTGATTTCAAAACTAGCATCTTAAAACCAATCGAAATTTCAATTTCTCAATGTTCAGAACGAACAAGCAATTCAAAACAAACCTGCAGTTTCTTAGATCGAATTGCAGATATTATTTTTTAGGGAAGTTGCTCAGAACTATGGAAATACTAATTTCTGTCTACAGTTCTCCCTTATTTTCTAGAATATTTCATCCCTATTGAATCTAGAGATGTGAATATGTTAAGCGTGTCCAGATTAACTTCAAAGATTACTTTAAAGAATCAACTGAAACTATCTTACACAAAATAAAATTTCCGTTTCTTATTTATTTTAAGTTGTTCGTTTTCTCTCATTTCTTTTATTGATTGTGAAATTTTCGTAATGTCTACAATAATTTAAAAATACATAATGTCTCAAAAAGTAACAGATAAGAATTTTCTTGCTTGTGCGTTTGTTGAACTTTGAACTGGCATGCACCTAAATGCGAAGATTAAACATAGGGAACATCTTTAAGTATACTTAATGGTTGTGCTTAAACCTAGATGGTTTGCAACTACGGCTAAGGGTAGGCTAATTAATTTACACGACAGCTGGCGGAGATCAACGATCGCCTCAGCAGGCTACGACTTCCCCGTTCATATCGCTGGGCCTGAACGGCAGCTGCATGTCCCTGCAGCGATCGATTACGAATCGTTCTAGTTGACAGCCAGCGCTGGAAGGGATAAATACAAAAGTTATGATCAAGCCCACTCCGGGATTATCGGATCTACTCACTCGTATATCTCGTTGCCTTCAACGTTGTACAAATCGCAGTTCCTAAACACCAACTGAATGTCGCTGAGCAGCTCCTCGTTCAGCTGGTAGGAGCCCATGTTCAGCTTGGACTTAATCTTGGCCAGATCCATGGGCGCCTTGATGATCTGGTGGTAGTCGGGGACCTCCGATGTCAGCACTGGCCGCAGGAACGGCCACGCGGCCTTGTGCTTCATGATCTGCTCCAGCAGATCATATAAGGCGGCACTGTTTAATGGCAGGTTCTCGTTCGTCCGGCGACCGCTCCTCCGATGGTTGTTGTTATTGGTGCTGCTGTTGTTGTTATTATTGTTGTTGCCGTTGCTCTGGCGGGCGGACTTGTCGATGGACAGGCGCACAGAGTTGCGGGAGCGCTTGGCTTTTGGCTCATCCTCATCGTGGTCACCGTCACCATTCACTGGGGGAAAGAAACAAAAGGGGATGATAGTAGGCAACGTTTATGAACATCATACAAGTGGACTCACTGTTACTGTGCCGGCGCCTGGGTCGATGTTGCACCGGCTTGCACGTCTTGCACATGTACTCTGTGCGCGGCGGACGTTTGAGATAGACGCACTCCAGGTGGAAGAACAATTTGCATTGTGCGCATCTTATTTCTCCGCCGTCGTAGAAACACTTCTGACACACCTTCTCGTCATCGCTGTGGAAAGTATAAAGTTATTTTTACATCAATGGACTCGTTGCTCTAACTTACGACTCATCACCCGTATCATCATCGGGTGTCATGGAATCGAATTCGCCGACTTCTACGCTTTCGGTCTCTTCCTCAGCGGCCTCTTCAATCTCTTTCGATGTGAGTCGCTTGCCTGTGGGACGTGTGCGAGATCCCCTCAGAGTTCGCCCGTTGACCCTCGTAGACGAGTGAGTGGAAGCCACGCTTCTGTCATCCGCATCTTCCTCATCCTGCTCATCGTCCTCCTCATCCGACTTATCGTCATCCTCTTGCTCCTCGTCCTCATCCACCTCCTCTTCTACAATAAACTTGCGCTTCTTCTTTTCCGCCTGTTTTTTATCCTTCTCGTTAAGACCCAGACTCTTCACGCAATCATTGCAATACCAGTTACCCTGAGGGACGGACCTGAGTTTGGGCTTCAAACAGAACATATGAGTGCCAGCGTTGCACTCGTCGCACAGCAGCATCTTCTCGGGATCGCTGCCACGCCGGCAGACTTTGCACAACGACTTGTTGGTAGACTTCCTCCACTGGATGCAGTCGTGCAGGATGTTGAAGTGCAGAAACACCTGGGCAAAGCTGGTGCTCTCCATTAGCGATACCTCCCACTGGTTCAGACGCGATTCGCAAGCGAGTCGTAAAGACTCCTGTTTGGGGTCCCACTTCTTCATGCCGAAGGGTTCCTTGAGGAATCGCTTTCCAATAGCCTGCTCCACTTGGAGAAGAGCCGATGCCATGTTGTGCACCGCAATTGGAATGGAAACGGCGTTAGTAACCTGACCCTCCTCATCGTCGCTATCTTGAGGGGCCTCTGTTTCCTCAGATGCTGCCAAATACATGCCAGGATCGCGATATGGCTTCCTGGCATATTTTCCTAACAGAGCGACATCGTCCTCCTCGTGAGTGTCGTGGGATTCGTTGTCGGAACCAGCCTCATCTTCTAGTTTACCGCCTGGGCCCCACTGCAACTTGCACTGTGGGTCGTATTTACCTAAGAGCAAATCGTTTCGCCACTTTTCCATATCCTTGACCTTCAGTCGGCCGAGATCGCCTGTGTAAATATCATTTTCAAACTGAATAATCCGATCCACTAGGTGCAGGCGCATCACCTCGTTCAGATCAGTGCCATTCGGCAATCCAAAGTTTGCCTCTCCATATTTGCGGTGAGTTTCAGATTCCATCGTCGCAATGAACTTCTTCCTCATTGCCTCGTTTTCCAGAGTGAGCAGCTCCACTGGGCATGTCTTTACATGCTGTTCGATAAGAGAACGCAGAACGGTAAGCTCTTGGAGTAGCTCGAACTCGCGAAGACCATTGGGGTTCAGTGCCTTAATTAGGTCTTCGATCTCCTCGGGTTTGTAGATGTAGGACCAACGCTGTCTTTGCCCGTTTCTAGGATCGTGCACAATGCAGTTTCTCTTGTCACCACTGCACATCATCAGCTCAAACTGAGAGGGAGCCTCCGGCGGATCCGTTTCCACTTCCATGGGCTCGGCACTGCCGTTAAGTCGATGCTCTTGGTTCTCCTTGTTTTCCAGCGATTGCTTGACCCTCTTCCTGGTCTTTTTATCATCTTCACCATAGAGCTTGAGAAGATATAGCCTCAAGTCCTTGCGACTTCTGGGCAACGTGGCCTGCTGACGAATTTCCAGTTGCGACTTGTTCGCTGGCGGTTGCTCCAAGCAAGTGTCCATGCTGTCCGGCGAATGCTCGACAAAGATCCCCGGCATCGACTCCAGTACATAGTACTTTCTGTAGCATCTGTCCATCCCAAGGTACACCAAGAAATTGAACAGTTGCGTGTGCAGCTTAAGCATCTGCTGTTCGTGCTTGCGATGCTGGGTATCTGACTGGGCGTGCAGCTCCGCGATGCTCTTGTTTAACTTCTCGACCATAGCTTCCCTTTTCTCTGGTTCAGCGGCACCCACCTCAAGGTGGTGCGTGTGGGTGAGTTTCTTTCTGTTGATCTCCACGGCGGCCAGTCGCTTATTTTCACCGACTACCAGAGCTCGCAGATCCTGCTTGGCCTTCGCCGTCTGCTCCATGCGCTCCTCAATCAGATTAATAGTGCCCGAGTAGGTCAGAATCTGGGACATAAGGCAGCGGATCAAGAGTATTATATCCCTGAACTTCAGCTGATATACGGAATGGTTTTTCAAAAAGCGAAGAATGTGTGGTTGCTGCAGGCGAAGTTCCAGGCCAGGATCTTCCTTCGACGAGTAGCCGTTGCGGTACATAACTCTCCACCGCTCCGCCTTTTCATTTATGATAGCTCCGGACCCAAGAATATGCAGGCGTAGCACTTCACTTATGGTCAGTGCGTCCAGCGGGAGTTCATTCACCTAATGGAAGTGGGAAATTCAGTTTAGAAAATGCCCTTAAGGATATAAGATAAGTTTGCTAAATTTACCTTGAAGGAAAAATGCCTCTTTGCGTATTGATGACTTTTGGCGGCTTTCACCATACTCCAGTAGGGCTCGTGTGTTTGGGCCGCCCGTTC